ACCAGCACTAGAGTATTGGACAGCTGTTTCATCCTAGTTTGGGAATAATTGGCAGAACTCACCCACCACATGATGTTCGAACCCAGGACCTTTCGGTTACAAGACGACCAAGTCCGTAAACCATTCAGCCACTGGGACCCAATCCCTCAATGGCCAGCCCATGAATTCTAACTTCTACCAATTCGTGATTTTAGCGTGACTCGCACCAACCAGTCATCCTCAAACTTGACTGATTGGACCTCACTGGTCACGAGTTCTCACTAGAACTTGCTAGTGACTTGCTACAGGAAGAAGATTCCTAGAGTTCTAGTGAGAAGTCGTGAACAGTGGGGTCCAACCAGTCAAGTGTGAGGATGGACTTCCTACCGATGACATTGTTTGGTGCCAGTCGTGCTAAATCACGAATTGGTAGAAGTTAGAATTCATGGGCTAGCTTTCGAGTCGGGTCCCAGTGGCTGAGTGGTATGCGAGTTTGCTGGCCCCATAACCGGAAGGTCCTGGGTTCGAAACCCGATGGTGGATGGGTACTGCCGATGATCCCTCAAAAAAGTAAGATAAAATGGCACTCCAGTACTCCCTGGTTTTCAATGCTTCTCTAACTGATTGATATCAATCCGCGATCAACTCGTAAAAACAAAACTAATCCTTACAAAAAACTCTTGAAAGGCAAATTATTGTTACATTATTATTATATCATTTTGATTTGGTTAGTGGCTTGCAACTGCTCATATAAGTCACTGGTATAAACTCATCTCCCTAGAATTGGCTGCCAGCTACACTTGTTACGTGAGGCCTGATTATAATTATAACCTCCGGTAGCCGGGAGTGAAATACGTGGAACAGGACATGAAAGGGAGACAGAATGCCTGAAAGTCGAGTGCTTAAACCATGAAGCCGTAATGTATAAGCAACTTATCATGTGCTATTATTAGTCAAAAACAGTGTTTCCCTTCTTCTGTATTCCTTTTGTTAATACTAATAGTATTCTCATATGAAACACCACCAACAGCAACAAAAACAACAGACAAAAATCAGCATAAATGGGAGGAACCTGAAAGAAACAACCTCCTTTACCCACCCCCCTGGGAAGCATCGTCTCAAATACAGACCGACAAAACTGACGAGGATATCAAAGCAAGAATCGGGAAAGCAAGGCAAGCTATCACTACTCTCAAGTCTGTGTAGAGGTCAACAGCACTCAGCATCAAAAATAAGATCCGGATTTTCAACTCCAATGTGAAGTCAGTGCTTCTATACGGATCAGAGACTTGCACTGTGCGTCATAAAGAGCATCTCAAACAAACTACAGATCTTCATCAACAGCTAGTTGTCTTCGCTCAATACTCAAGATCAGATGGCCGGCCAGAAAAGATCAGCAACGGAGATCTCTGGCAATGAGCGAACCAACCCAGCAGGAACCGATTGTGAAACAAATAGGCAGGAAGAAATGGAGATGGATTGGCCATACTCTGAAGAAACAAACCATCAAGTGACATCACTAGACAAGCCATCGCTCGAGTGGAACCCGAAAGGGAAGCGGCGAGTTGGTCGTCAGTGCAAGGGTGACTTGGAGGAGGTCATGTGAAGAGAAGATGAAAACGAGTGGGCAGACTTGGAGCCAGGAGAAGACTCTAGAAGAGAATCGAGCGCAATGGAGACTCGCGGCTGAAGCCCTATGTTCCTCTAGGAATTAAAGGATACAATAATAATAATAATGATGAAAGTAGACAGACACATCAGGTTGAAGGGTATAAGCATACAAACAATATATTAGAATGGTGAGTAAGCATAATTAGCTATGTGTAGGATCCAAGGTTATATTTATTAGAGACTAGTTGGATAGGAGGTCGCCTTGTAACCAGAAGGCTGTGGGTACGAACCCCGACGGGTGCGTACTGTTGCAGAGTTCCAGACTAGGACAAAACATCTGTCCAACACTATCTGGCTCTCCAGTGGTTCTCTAACTTACATCAGCTAGTGATCAAACCTCCAAAGATAGTCAATTCAACTAGATGACTGCCCACATCGTTCGGCATCACTCTGAAATCTGAAAGTGTGAATTAAAAAGAGTCGCAAAATCTACTTTCCGCAATAGGTAATCGAATCCAGTCAATTTATAGCGATGAAACGAATTTTTTTCAAAGCCATTCTGTACTATTGAATACAATTTTGACATGACTGGAACTCAGTTATCTGGACGAGACTTCTGAAGTGCCTATCTACATGATCCAGTCATGAGGGCTAATGAAATGACTAGGTTTTCTAGCTTGAATTAGGTCGCTGAACTCACTAAATGAAAGTTGATTATTTAAAACGATAATTCACATTCCTCTACAAAACAAAGCCTCAAAGAAGTTGATATTCCTACTTGAGATTCAAATGTGCGTCACTTGAAGTTTACTTCAGATGAATCATCGCGGCATATCGTTAATTTAACTTACGCTCCTGAGCGTCTTGACATCAGTGGATCAATTTGTTGGATTTCCACCAGCAACACATATGGTCGGGGTTAGATTTTCTGGTCAAAGCCCCCGTTAAATCCTACCTAGTTTACAAACTGACTTGATATGATTATGAGCAATAGTTTGTGCTCGAAACGTCATCAGTTAATATAAATGTACTACACTGTGTGATTTATCAAAATAAATTCTTATCCATTATGAAACTGACAGCAAGTCTGGAAAAAAAAGAGGGTCAAGCGTCAGACTAGCAACCCTATCTCGTTAAAAAAACAATACCATGACTACGACTGAAGATCTGAAAAGCTTAAAGCCCGTCAGTTACATACAGAACCCAACTGAGTGAAAATAAAAAGTACTCAATAATTTAGCCATGCAGTATCGTCTCAACGACAACCAACTCCACGGGGGGATGTCAGCGTCAACCAGAATGAGAAAAGCAACACGAATATTCATCACAAGGAGATTCGGACCTTCAACACTTTCCTGTATGCGTCAGAAACCTGGTGTGTCCTTCATCAAAAATATGTCGAACAGACTACTGTAGACTATTATCGACAGTTACCATCACTGCATACCCTAGAGTGGGACCCAAGTGGGAAACGATGAGTGGGGCGTTAATTCGACGGTGACATGGAGGATATCGTGTGGTGAGGAGGAGATGACAGACTACGGGAAATCGTGGAGCCAGTAAGACAGGACCACAGGGAACTGAACGAAGTGGGGAAGGGTGCTGCTGAAGCCCTATATTCCACTCGGAACCCAAAAGAACAATAATAACAAGTAAACACCCAATAACTCCCTGAACAGGATATAGACACAGGTCCTCCGTCCCTAACTGAGGTTACTAAAGCTGACAAGGCAAAACAGCAGGGCCTGATGGAATGACTCCAGAGGTATTTAATTACGGTAGAGACAGTTTACTGCACCGTCGGGTTGGTGTAAGTCATTGATTTTCCCAGTATACAAGAAGGGAGACAAGTATTCCTGTGATAATCACAGAGCGATTAGCTTGACTAATATAGCATCCAAGGTCCTAGGCTCAATAATATTGCGTAAACTAAGTGGTGCTCGGGAGGCACAAACACGAGAAAACCAGGCAGGTTTAAGGTCAGGAAGAGGGTGTACTGATCATATCTTCACCCTTCTTCAGATTATAGAGCATAGGCATTCCTACCGGCGTCCGACAGTCACTATATTTCTTGACCTAAAGGCGGCATTCGATTCTGTCGACCGAGAGGTACTCTGGCGATGCTTTGCTGTAAAGGGAATGCCGAGAAAATACATAGCACTGATTAAGGCACTCCACTCGTACTCATGCAGCTAGGTGATGGCTTACGGCGAGTTTTCATCTGAAGTGGTGACAACCAATGGTGTCCGAGAGGGATGCCCACCATCCCCATTTCTATTCAATTTCATCATAGGTGTACTAATGGACTTAACCCTAACTTACTTCAGAGACTCAGGGATTGACTTGTCACCAGGCCATAATCTGGTTGACTTAAAACATGCAGAGGATGTAGTCCTTTTAGATGAAAACGCTGACAAAATGCAGAGTCTTCTAAACACCTTGAGCTGCAATGTTTGGCACGCGATTCGCTCCCGTCAAATGTAAGATGATGTTACAGGACTGCACTACACTGCCTCCTAGCTAAAAAAAGGGAGTAAAGTGGAAGAGCGCATTGACCACTTCACATATGTGGGAAGTTGCATCAGTCAACGCCAGCGATTTGATCGCAGACGAAATCTCAACACGGATACAGAAGGCTCGTTTCGCATATGCCATTTTACGCCGGCTCTGGCGCAGACGTGATACCTGGCTATCGACCAAAGGGTGGGTGTACTGCTCAGCAGTCTGCTCCGTCCTCGTTTATGGCTGCGAGCGAGACGTGGTCATTAAGAGTCGAAGAAATGAAAAGGCCAGCTAGCTGTATTTGATCATAGGTGCCTGCGTTCTATCTCCCGTGTCAGATGGTATAATGGGGTGAGCAATGTTGGGGTAAGGCATCGGTCGAGTGCTAGGTAGGTGGGAGTTACATTGACTGAGATGGTTGAGATATGTGTTACGCTTGTCTAGTCACCGCCTTCCTCGACTGACAGGCAATGTTAGCTGACATAGGGTCAGGCTGGAAAAGAGCTAGCAGTGGTCAAACCAAAACATGGCTTCATCAGTCAATGGTTGGAGTCCTCGGGACGGTATAGACCAATGGCTTGAAACAATCGGTGATATGGCTCAAAATCGTTCTCAGTGATGGCTGGCGCAGATGCATCCACTCCTTGTGACTTATAATACCCAACAAAACCATATTGTTCTTCATTATTACTATTCCTTTTGTCTCATATCCCTGTCTGCTGTCTCTATTTTTCATTTCTTCTCTTGCTTTGTGTGCTACATGGAGTGTAACAACTCGAACTGCCGCACATCTGTGCAAAGTTCTATGCTGAAAACAGACAGACAGAATGAGTAAAGAAATGGCGAAATATACACCTATGTATAATATATAAAAATATGCAGCGTAGGCATTAGTGTATTCAACTTACTTCTTCAGAATTTAACAAACAGAATGCATTCTCATCAATTATCATATCGGTCAATCGAACTGATTCATATTCACCGTTCATTCCCGCATAATTCTGATGATTCGATGGAAATATTTGAAAATCGGATCGATTCAAATTATAATGCTTCATTGGTGATAAAAAGTTTGTTTGATTTCGAGTAATTCGAATATCTGGTGATGTATAATGCATAGGCGGATTATTTGAATAACTTTCAACATTATTATCGTTTCTATGATTAAATGCAAATGGAGAGGCTTGTGGATGTTTGATAGTTGAATTCGGCGGCGGGAAATAATAATCAGCATATTGACTTTGATAAGGATTTTCTTCTTGTTGACTATTAAAGGAGGTTTGATATCGTCTCGGTCGGGTGCATCCTGAACTGTTGGATCGATGTAAGGATGATTTTTGACCATTGAGAACTTTATAATCATAATTCTTAGTGGAATGTCTACTTGTTGTTGTTTTTTTCATGATTTGATCATTATTATTATTGTCTTTACTGATGCTGGCATTATTTATAGAGTACCAGTCAACTGGGGATTCCGTTGAATTCATGTGATGATTAGTAATTCGAATTGAATCAGAAGGTATGTTGGATGAGTGGAGCAAATCATCACCGGCTGGTTTCATTGTTAAACAGGATGTAGAATAGGTAAGATTTGGTGTTGTTGGCATTGATGCCTTGTCATATGATAAAATATTTACCTGATTCAATGGAGCTGAATTCTTCCGACTATTTGTCTAAAGAATAATGTTTAGGTATGAATGTTTGGCAAGTGTACACACATATTGGTAAATGTAAACTGTAATGACTCAAACGAACAACTCAGCTAAAAAAAATTGGTGATATGGCTCAGAAATCGTTCCCAATAAATGGCTTAGATGCATCCACTCCTTGTGACTTCTAGTTTCCAATAAAACTATATTGTTATTCAAGTATTGGTTTGTAGGGATTTGGTTGATTGGTTACAGGAATACTTGAATAACAATGAGATGCTCACTGGCGACTGGCCCTATTCAGGTAGGTAGTTACCTAGGGTTTCAGTGGGAAGTCATGACCAGTAGGGAGCAGCAGGTCGGGTTTGAGGGCAAATACTCGCCGAAGACATTGGCTAGCGGTTGCGTTATATCGTGAATTGGCAGAAGTTAGAATTCATGGGCCATTGGATCGTGTCCCAGTGGCGTAATGGTATACGAGCTCGCCTTGTAACCAGAAGGTCCTGGGTTCGGACCCCGATGGGTGCGTACTGATGAAGAGTCCCAAACTGGGCTGGCGAAACAGCTGTCCAGTACTCGTAGGTTTTCCAATGGTTCTCTAACCAATGTCAGTTCATGATGAAATCCTGTAACCAAACTATATTGTTCTTCGGTATTACTATTCTTTTTGCCTTATATCTCTGTTTACCGTATTTATTTTGCATTTCCTTTTAATTTCTTCTCTTGCTTTGTGTGCTGAGTGAAGTGTGAAGACTCGAACAGCTGCATATCAGTGCAAAGTCCTATGTTGAAACCAGATAGACAGACAGACAGACCCAGTTAAACCGACGTAATGACCTCAATCAACCAATAAGATATGCCCGTAATTATTATTATTGTATTATTGTTCCCTTGGGTTCCTAGTGGAACATAGGGCTTCAACTGCACGTCTCCACTTGCTTCTGTCTTGTGCTGTACTTTTCGATTGCGTCCATGTTATTCCATACTGTTTCAGTTCCTGTTCACACGATCTCCTCCATGTCACCCTTGGACGTCCCACTCGCCGCTTCCCTTTCGGGTTCCACTCGAGGGCTTGACGCGCGATGTCACTCAACGGCCTCCTCAGCGAGTGTCCAATCCATCTCCACTTCCTCCTGCATATTTGTTGGGCGATTGGTTCCTGTTTCGTTTGTTCCCATAGCTTCTTGTTTGTGATTCTTTCCGGCCATCTAATCTTCAGTATGGAGCGAAGACAGTTGTTGATAAAGGTCTGCAACCTGTTGAAAATATTCTTGGTGACCCGCCAAGTTTCTGATCCGTAAAGCAGAATTGACTTCACGTTTGTATTGAAAATCCGAATTTTGTTGTTGATGGTGAGTGACGAAGATTTCCAGATTGGTTTCAGGTTGATGAATGTGTTTCTCGCCTTCCCGATTCTCGATTTGACATCCTCATCCGTTCCTCCTGTGGTTGAGACAATGCTCCCTAGATAAGTGAATGAAATAACCTCTTTCAAATCCCTCCCGTTGATGGTGATTGGTGCTGGATGTTGCTGCTGTTGTTGGTTGGTTATTTTCATAACCTCCGTCTTGTCTATGTTCACCTGGAGTCCTGTCTTCTCTGGCTGCTTCTTCGACCAGTTTGTCGGTTTTCGCTTGTAAGTCTTCGATTTTGTTTGACATCAAACATAAATCATCCACACGCGAAATCCAGGTCTTCTAGGTTCTTCAAGTCGGTCCAGGATATCCCTGTCTTCTCGTTTCTCACTGTCTGACGCATAATCCAGTCCACCACAATTAGGAATATCATTGGATGCCCGTAATAGAAATGCGGAAATATAGACGCAATACACGAAGTGTGTAAAAAGTCCATGGCTGAGTACTGCTGGGATAATAGGCTCGAAAAAAGCCACCAGATATGGAGGTCTAATGTCTTCACAGAGATAGACAGCCACTGTTCATCGATATATGTAAAGATGTCCAGGTAGTCGTTACAGGAAATCTGTCTAAAAAGATATGGCGTAACTTGTTCAGGCTCATAGGTGCTGTAGAGCAATGAATGTGCCACGAAATAGCACTCTATAAAGAAATCGGTTTGGACTGTCACTACAGTCTTCAGAAAGGAATTACCTTTTCTTGAGGCACATGCAACACTAACTTCTATGTCTATAAACAAGTTTTTGTAATTTGCGCGCATTTACTACGGGCTACTGTGATTGGCCGATTGAGGCCAATACATCCATTTACTTGAGTCATTTATTTAAAAAGACAGTTGCAGCGAAGAAAATTTTCTTTTCGACGAAGTCATCATCTAGGCTGTACATTCGTGTATTTATATCAAATGGATGGGAAAGTTCCAGAACAATTTCTGGTTAGAGGTTGGATTAATAAAAATTACAATTAGGAATTAGAATGCCATAATAATTCAACCTCTAACCAGAAACTGTTCTGGAACTTTCCCATCCATTTGATATAAATACACAATGTACAGCCTAGATGATGACTTCGTCGAAAAGAAAATTTTCTTCGCTGCAACTGTCTTTTTATTCCCTATGATCAAATGTGTATATTCCGTCATTTATTTAAGTCAATATAGTTCAGAGTCGCCCACATCAATATTATTGTTTAGAAAACGACAGAAACCAGAAATTCCTTTGATTCCATTTGACTATGATCATGCAGTATTTTAAAGATCACTAAGTGAAACGTCCTCAAGCACGACCCAAAGCCTAAACTTGCTTAGGGAAATCAATTTGAGTTGCTTTCTTATGTATTTTAAGGTGTCGAGTTTGTGAGACTTTCGATAATTCACAAACCAAATTCAGTTAAAGTATGGTTGAAAACCAGAAAGCACTGGAGAGCTAGTTCGTGACTCTTCGGCCTTGCGTGCCCATGATCTCAATCGGAATCGAACTGAAAGGCTTAATTTTACAAAGTAGACACGTTACTATTGAACCAACAGGTTGAAATTTATTGGTTACAGGATTTCATCATAAGCTGACATCGGTTTGAGAACCATTGGAAAACTAGCTGGGAGTACTCGACAGCTGTTTCGTCAGCCCAACTTGTGACCCTTCAGCAGTGCTCACCCACACTGCGAGGTTCGAACCCAAGACCTCCGTGTTACAAGGCGAGCAAGTTCGTAGACCATTAATCAGCCACTGGGACCCACCGATCCAATAGCCAGTCCATGAATTCTAACTTCTGCCAATTCATGACATAGCGCGACTGCTAACCAATATCTTCGTATTCCACTGATCCTGGGTTCAAACCCCGATGGGTGCGACTTTAGAAGAGTCCCAAACCAAGCTGACGAAAGAGCCGTCTAAGTAGTTTTCCAGTGGTTCTCTTACCGATGTCAGGTCATGATGAAATCCTGTAACCAATCAATCAAATCCCTAAAAATCAATACTTGAAATATATTGGCTTGGGACTCTTAACGGTCAGTGGTAAGAAAACATTTCCATGATAGTAGGGTGGCGGAAGGGAAACTGATAAACCTCTGAAGTCGAACGTACTAATTGAAGTCCAGAACATACGAAAACTTCTCAACAAGGAAATTGTGTTGCATCTAATGCGCGCTACTGATGACTGGAGCCATTTCTGACACTTAGGACTAGCACTTTCTGTCTTTTGTTAGTTTATGTAAGGGTTCACATCATCTAGAGTACGATGCTAATAATAAAGCAAAAAGATGCATTAACAGTATGCTATCATGAAGCCACAATGGAAATGAGATCCTCAAAGAGACATCAAAAGAAAACTGTAGTTTAGAGGACATTATAGCTCTATTGGGAAACCTAAAAGTACAGTCTCAAATATTTACCGCTATTCTGCTTTTAGTAAATGCTGTGTTAAGCAATAACATGATAATAAACCGTGACTTTTGAAATCATATGTTCTGGGTCCAAGTTTCATCGGTTCGGCAGGAACACCATCACTCATTGAGAATTCAAGTACATCCAGCCGACGATACTGAGATAAGACGAAATATGCATTCTGGATTCCACTGCGTAATACCATAAACCAAAAAGCAAACACACTGTTAACCTCATAGCATCGCTGAAGTGTCCGTACAAGGAGAGGACGTGCCGATTTCCTCCAACCATCTAATACTAACAATTCAAAATGCACTGTGATTGCAAGCCACCTAGTGGCATGGTGGCCAGATTGCAAACTTGACTGATAGAATTCAGCCTGCACGAAACAAAGGACTAGACACATTACACTAATTACTAACTAGTGTCCAACCTAAAATATCTAAAACACTCCTCCTACAGGAGGTCAATCGCGAGCTCGAATAGCTCAGTGGTAACGTCTCTGACTGCAGGCGGCACTGCGTGACACGGGTTCGAATCTCAGAGTGGTCATGAATTCCTTCAAGGTTTCAGATACGCCGCCTTCCTGACTTGTGAGTGCCAACGAGCACGAAACCTAGATCGAATGAGGCTTCCCGCCGATTGCTTCCAACCATCTAATAACATGTAGCGTTGAAAGTGTGATCCTAGAGGCAACATCTTTCGTTAGACCGGTCATGTTTAATCGATCAATTATTCACTACAGTACACTAACGTGCATTAGTGATTCAACAACAGAATACACGCCAACCACGAAAGTGGTCCGGGGCTCGTTGTACGGCCGACGCTCCACTAAACTTTGCTTAGACTGTAATAATCCCGGTGAAAAAAAAGGAACGTTGAGCCTGAGGCTATCAACCCTAATCCGTAAAAAGACATACACGAGTGTTGAAACTCCAAAGTTCAAACATATCTGACTTGAAACGCGATCAGCAAGGAGAGATTTCGGGCAGAGTTAAACTTTAAGCACCACTAAATACCAATCAGCAAATGACTTTGAACGTACCGATCACATGAAGGAGGCATTTTTGTGTATGGAATACATATATTTATGAAAAAGATGCATAAAAACTGTAGAAACGTGTTACAGAGGATACCTTCCTCTCACATTTGATGAAATAGCTCTCACTTTTAGGTTGGAGTATCAACAGAGTAGGGTAATTCCATTGTGGGTAAAGCTTATTTTGATAAAGTCTCATATTGTAATACAGTAATATTTACTGAGCAATTAATTGTGCTCGAATCGTGGTCATCAGTAAGTATTACTGTATTACACTGTGAGACTTTATCACAATAAATGTTACCCACAATGGAATTATACTCTATCACCACAGTGCACAAGTTCTATTCTTATGTCAACAGAGTAATTTAACCGCATTCTATGCATGCAATTATTTAGGCCTTGTAACCCTAACAATAACTCTAATCTCTCCTGAACCTAACCCTAACGTGAAAATGTGCCTGAACTAACTGTAATGTAACTCGAACCAACCCTAATGTCGCCTTTATTAGGTTAACCTAACCTTAACTTGTCCTTGGCTTAAACCGTGACTTAATCTTTCCCAAACCTAAGCTGAAACTTGCCAGATATCCCATTTAATTACCGGACACTTCTATGAGCATACCTTAGTGATGATGACAACATTACTTGCCAGGTTTCACTAACTTGCTCAGTGAGCATTTCCAGGTCATTGGTGCGGTTGCACTCCATTGGTAGTTAGTAAGTGGTGCTTTTTATCTAGGGAGCATTGTCTCAAATACAGGAGGAACGGACGAGGATGTCAAATCGAGAATCAGGAAGGCGAGAAACACATTCATCAACCTGAAACCAATCTGGAAATCTTCGTCACTCAGCCTGCATCAACAACAAAATTCAGATTTTCAATACAAACGTCAAGTCAGTTTTGCTATACGGATCAGAAACTTGGCGGGTCACAAAGAATATTTCCAACAGCCTGTTGCAGACCTTTATCAACAGCTGTCTTCGTTCTATACTCAAGATCAGATGGCCGGAAAGAATCACCAACTAGAAACTATGGGAACGAACAAATTAAGAACCAATGGCTCAACAGATCTGCAGGAGAAAGTGGAGATGAATCGGACACTTGCTGAGGAGGCCGTTGGGTGACATCGCGCGTCAGGCCATCGCTCGAGTGGAACCCGAAAGGGAAGCGGTGAGTGGGATGTCCAAGGGTGACATGGAGGAGGTTGTGTGAAGAGGAGTTAAAACAGTATGGACTAACATGGATGCAAGTGAAAAGTACAGCAGAAGACAGAAGCAAGTGAAGACGTGCAGTTGAAGCCCTATGTTCCACTAGGAACCCAAGGGAACAGTAGTAAAAACAATAAATAGTGGTGCTTAAAGTTTAACTTGGTCGATTTCAGATATCTAGTGTTTGCGTTTGGTAAATAGCTAATGTAATGTTTGTGTCTATGGGTGGGCGAGTGAGTGGGTTATATACACACACATAAATAAATGTGACAACAAAACAAAAGCATACGACTCACTTTTGACTTTTTCAATAAACTGATATTTCTATTTGATGCATAAACTGGAAATTGTTTATCCGTCGTATCAATATGATCAGCTGAATTAATTTTTTTCACATTTTGTAATCCAGAATTTTCATAAATTGAATTCAGTTTACTTGTTGTCCCGCTAAGTTTCGTCGACATTCCATTATAACTGCCTAAACCAGAGGAGGAAATATGCGATGATGATGCTACTGTTGTCTCACTGCGAGTTTTACTATCACTCATCCAATCGGATAGGGAACTTTTCATTGATTTCACATCTAAACTAAGTTTGTCCTGATCACTGTCTTGCATACTTCTACTATCCAACTGTTTATGCCTTCGACCACGTCCGTGTTTACGATGACTTGAATGATAGATGCCATTGTGTTCAATATTGTTCTGATGGTTGTTGATGGGGTTGGCGGGATAATCTTCATTCACTTCATTATTATTATTATTTCTAAGTAAACTTATATCATGTCCAAGGGAATGTGAATTAGGCATTTTTGAAGATTTGACATTTCTATTCAACGTCATATGAGAAGGCAATTGATATTCTATTATACGATGATCTCCAGCATATGCTGGTGAATTAGCACGGATAGTATTGACAGGTAGGAAGTTGGATGAGTGACCAATTGTGTGGTAACGTTCAGGTGTTTCATTCCTATGGCGCCTTTCTCGTAAACCCTACAATGTATATATCAAACAGATATGTACAAACTAAATGAATTAATTAATTAATTAAAGGCGTTCTACATCAAGAAGTTAAGACATTCCGATATAACCCAACCCTTACTCCTACAATTCGTTAACTCTTGCATCCTGCCTATTATTCTCTGTTGTTCCCCCTTGTTTTTCCAGGGCTACTGAAGAAAGACTATAAAATATTATGCAGGATGTTAAAGGTTGTCAGCAGGGTAAGCGACGTGCCACTTAACCAGCTTGTTAATATTCTGGTCGACAGGCACACGGACTCATGTGAAAAGCGGGTCAAATCCATTCTATCTAACTCACACCACCCTCTTCATTCACAACTCTCCCCTTGCATCTCATCAGGTAAAATCAAAAGCCAATATAGAAAACTATATGCTCGCACCAGTAAGTACAAAAACTCAACTATACCCTACTTAGCTCGTGTTCTGTGTGATAAAGAAAGCATTAGGTGTGACACCTATAATTCATTAAATAGTCAGTAGTACAACTGGATCTCCTCTTTCCAACTCACATCATTAATAGGTACAACACTCTCTTTCTTTCTTTTCCTTTTCCCTCTCTCTTTTTCCGTTATGTGCTGCTTTGTTTCTTTCTCCTGCTTACGCCAGTAAATATGACAGCACCTACTTTTCTAACACCTTCAAACACTGTTCAACTTTCGCTTTGCTACCGACATGCCAATGTGTTGTTGTAATAATGAACTGAGATTTCCTTAATCTATGTAGAATTCTATTTATTGATAATGTACTAACTGGATGCAATACTGTAGTAAATATGCTGAGAATTCCATTCTGTATCACAAGTACTGTTTTGGAATAAAGCAAATTATTATTATTCAGGTGTCTCTTACGCTTGGAGAAAATTCAACGTGTTCTGAAAACTAAACATCAATATACTTCAAAATGCATGCACCTTGTGAAAATATACACTCGGCTAGAAGGTCATGCTACTACGCAACTATATGAAAGTGGATTTCTAATGCAGACAGCAGAAAAGTAAAATGATCCAGTCAATGACTAACGACACACACAGTACAGAATTCCCTAAAACTACTGTAATTCGTAGAGAAACGTTTAGTTTGATTTGTTTAGTATAGGTCGTAATTCGTATTTTTATTTAGTTTTTTTAAATTATTATTCCCTTTGGTTCCAAGCGGAATACAAGGCTTCAACAACACATCTCTACTTTGTTCTATTTTATGCCATCCTCTTCATCTAGGTCCATGATTGCCCAAACTCTCTCATCTCTTTTTCTCACACGACCTCCTTCATATCACCCTCACACCGATGACCCACCCGTCGCTTCCCATTTGAATTCAACTTGAGCAATGGCCTGACAGACAATTTCGTTCGACGGCCTCCTCCACGTATGCCCAGTCCATCTCCATTTTGTCCTACATATTTGTTGGGCAATCGTCATGTTATGTTAAGTTATGTTGGCCGTTGCTCTAGGAACTTCATTTTTCGTGCTCGAGAACATCTCCCACAATGGCTAAGTAAAGATGTAGTTAAAACTATTAACAGCTCGATATTAGACCATCTGGTGCAAACACGTCACAAAGCCAGCGTAGAATAATCCTTCTCTATTATATACCGGGTGCCTAACAAACTACCAAAATCGTCGAAGCACCGCATGCTCCAAACAGCAGAGGCTATTGCGATTCGCCTCAAACAACCAGTGCTCTGTGTCCAAAAGAAACAAGTCCAGCCAGCCCCCACTACTGCCTTGGCCCTCAGTAGAGACTATAAACTCATGAATTTGTGCCATTACCTTTCCTAATTCTTCTGACATTCACTTCAATTTATGTTGATGCTGTTCAGCTGTAATTTATCAATATTATTGATTTGATGTTATTTAAACATTAATGTCGTTCATAAGACTAATTCATTCATTCATTATAATGTATACATAATTGTAGAACCTGATGATGGATTTATCGAAAAGAGTACTCTTTGTTCAGTGTCTATTCTTTTGAAAATCGTCTCTTAGTTGGTTCGCTAGAGGTTAAAGTTTCTTGTTGGCTAGTTCTTTCTGGCTGGCTATTTTATATTGAGTATGGAGCGAAGTGAACAGCTGTGGATAAAGTCTGTAACTTCTTGGAAATCCTCTTCGTGACAAGGAGTGCAATTTTCTGACTCGTAAAAAAGGACCGACTTGAAACTGGTGTTGAAAATCCGAATATTGTTCCTCATGCTGGCTGAGTGCAGAAGATTTCCAAATTGCTTTCAGGTTGATGAGAAGGCTTAACTCACCTTTCCGATTCCGGCTGACTTTTACGTCTTTATCTGTTCCACCTGCAGCTGAAACGATGCTGGCTGCCTAGATAAGTGGAGGAGGTAACCTCTCTTAAATCCCTCCCACCGATAGTGGTTGGTTCTGGTTGTTGTTGTTGGTTGTTTGTTTGGTTGGTTATCTTCATCACCTCCGTCTTCTCTATATTCACCTGAAGTCCTGTCTTCGCTGCCTGCCTCTCCTGCCAGTTTGTTGCTTTTCGCCTACCCGCAAGTCTTCGAGTTTGTGTGATATCAGACCTATATCATCTGCGAAATCGAGATCTTCTAGAAATTTCTTATCGGTCCTCTGGCGTATTCCTGTCTTCTCACCCCTGTTCACAGTATGACGCATAATCCGCCACAATTATGAAATTCATCGGTGATAACAGACGGTCAGCATTGTCTTACTCCTGTGTGCACTTCGAACGCCTCGCTGAGTTTCCCGTTATGGATCACCTGACACGTGGAATTGTCATATTTTCAGCTGTTTCATGAGGTTGATAACGGCTTGAGGTACGCCATAGTGTTGTAATTTTTAGTTGAACCAAAACCTTTTTAGAAAAATCATTCACTGAAACACTGCAAATATACAATGGTTTGGTCATTAGGGGATAAATACTATTATGTACTTAGTCCTTAGTGTTGCTGCTGACAACATTCAGTCATTCAAGTTTTCAACGGGACTCAACATGTGGGGAAATATCCAGGACCTTGATTTCGTGTTTGGCAAAAGAGCTTGTATTCTATCAGTAACACACAGTCAAATATCCACAAGGAATAGGGTTCCTTAGACTTTCCAGATATCCTTTACTGACAAATAATCAATAAGTGCAAAGTAAAGGTCCATAGGTTCCTTCTAATTGCTTCCGACCACGAAACACTGCAAAATATTCTTAAACGTCAAGCCCAAATTATTGTAGTAATGTCACACAAACTCGAAGACTTACAAGCGAAAACCAACAAACTGGCAGAAGAAGCAAAGGAGACAGGACTTTAAGGTAACATTGAAAAGACAGAGTTGATGAAAATAACCAACCAACCACCCGACAACAACAAGTGCCAATCACGATCAGCGGAAGAAATTTGAAAGAGGTCATTTCCTTCACTTATCTAGGCACCATCGTTTCAACTACAGCTGACTCCGCGAACGACGATTTCAACGTCAGCCAGAATCGAAAAGGCAACACAGACCTTCACCACTCAGAAATCAGTCCAGGAATCTTGACTCTACCTCAACATAAACAACGAAATTCGGATTTTCAACACCAATGTTAATTCAGTCAGTCATTTGGATCGCCCTTCACAAAAAGAATTTCCAACAGCTACCTGCAGACATTTATCAATAGCTGCCCACTTCTCTGGCAGTAACCCTTCTCTGTGTTTACTCATTGTATATGCTTTGGCACGTACATGTTTACTGCTACAAACAACTGAAGTTAACATGAGGTGGGAATTTGTCCCTTACTGACTGTCTTAAACAACTGGTCTTTTGATAAATACATACAAGCTTGGCAGATGGATGTGTTCTGTTCAGGACAGTCTTCAGTCCACATCTTATTCGATTATCAACATCTTCATCTTTGACAGTAAGCTCTACTGTGATGCAGCTCACTTCTTCAACACTACGTTCTCCATATGTATAAATTGACTTCTTTGGGTAACCGTCATCACGCAGGAATCTTTCACAACTTCATCAAGTCATCTCCTGTCTTATTCAAAGAAATTTTATTATTTCATCTGAAGGTGACTCACTCTACCTCCTGGTTTTGCTGTTTTCATAAAGACGTGTTTTCTGTAGTTACGTAACCTGTCATACTATTAAACCCCTTTCTAGTTAAACTTTGTTTCGACTCAAAATTTTAAACCCTGTAAGTAGTCAATCTTTTTAACTCTTTATAATTTACAGGGGCTTGCTTCATTCCAGACTTGTGTTACTTTTAGTTCAAGTCCACTGTTTCTTGTCATTTTGACGTAAATGTGATTCAAGCACTCAATGAAATTGATACATTTTGAATTGTTCAAAATTGTGCATCGGTGGCACAGCGGTAAGGACGCTCACCGACCATGCATATGGTTCGGGGTTCAATCCCCTGCCGACCCACACTTGATATCAATAGTCGGCCTGCTAAATTTGAGCTACCGATACCACACACTGAAAATTCTATACTCCTATCAAAATACTGTATGGAATTAACGTATAATAAAGTAATTTAAGTATGCAGCCAGTTGAGAAGAATCCTAGAAATAGTAAAAAGTGAGCTCATATTACTCTGGAACATTTGTGGTTCTGGCTTTGTGTAAGTTTATTATTTGAAGGATTGTATGACAGCTTCAACAAACTACTACACAGCAAATATGTTGAAGGAAATGTGGATAGATTGCACACATGCTGAAGATATTATACGATATTCTAGTCGTGGAGTTGATTCCAAATGGAAAATAATGGGTTGGGCACTTGAGTATGGTGACTTGGAAACAGTTTTAAATGAAGTCGAACAGAAAGCTTGTAGGTAGAGTCATGGCGTTTGTTGAAAGTTATGACAGAGAACCTTGTGGAATGCAGATCTGCCACAGTGAAGTTTTTATCAACCGCATTCAACAGTTGGCTATGTGACAATGCCACAGGTCAGGTGATCCACAACTGGAAACTCAGAGAGGCCCTCAAAGTGCCTGGTATCACCAATGATATTCTGACTTGTG